GCCTGCTGGAGGTCATTTAGTAGGGCTGTGGCAGTGCTCCTCCTGCTCCTCCTTGCACAAAGGAGCAGATAGCGGTCCTGCTGATGGGTTGTAGACCTTCTACGGCCCTGTCCAGCTCTCCTGGAGTAACTGCCTGTCGCCTGGAATCTCCTCCATGCTCTTGAGATTGTGCTGGGAGACACAGCAAACCTTCTGGCAATGGCAACTATTGATGCGCCATCCTGGAGGAGTTGGACTGCCTGTGCAACCTCTGTAGGGTCCAGGTAGCGCCTCATGCTAACAGCAGTGACAGTGACCCTAGCCAAATGCTAAACTGGTTAAAAAGAGTCAAAAAAGATGAGGAGGGGAAAAAATGTCAAGTGGCCTCCACCTGTAAAACCATTCCTGTTTGGATGGTCGTCTCGTTGTTGCTCCTCTAGTTCACCTGTTGTTCATTTCATTAACACCAAAGCAGCTGAAACTGATTAACACCCCCCTCTGCTACTTACCTGACCAAATCAATATCCCACAAGTTTAATTAACTTGATGCTATACTCTAAATGCAAAGTGTTCCTTTAATTTGTTTGAGTAGTATATAAATGAAAATAGGGTGAGTAAAACACAGCCTCAGCTGCATCAGTTCAAACATGACTCAAAGTTTTTTTTCATTCTTTAAAATAATAGGTCTTTTTTTAACAGCAGTAATAAATACGTAATTGAGAAAGTGTCAACCACAAATGCAGAAAATGTCAGCCCTCTAGCTCCAACAGTTTCAGAGCTGTTGGGCTTNCCTCTAGCTCCAACAGTTTCAGAGCTGTTGGGCTTTGAACTTTTAGTGTCACCAGTGTCTCCAAATGTACCAAATGCTTTTACTCTATTTGACCCATAGAATAACCCTGAAGCTTTTTGATGGCCACAAAACATTTGCACTTACACTTTTTTTTTTTTTTTAAGAATCAGTGTATGTAACAAAATGTAAGATTTATACAGCTACAATAACAATCTACAAAAAATAAAAAAAAATAAAAAATAAAAAGAGCTAAAATAAGCTCCAGTTCCTTTTGTGACCTGTATTTATTTATTTTTTTCAGTCTTAGGCATTGTAATAAAAGAAAATCAGCAGCCAGACTGAAAGAAAATAGGGTGGTTGTTTTTATTCTGCTTAGAAAACAGTGTGTGCATTGATCAGCTGTGTGTTTCACTCTTACACAAGCTGGTAACACGGCTCTTATTTCTACAGCCCACGTGGTCTTAACCAATAACAGCAGCACTCTAGGAGGCGTAATATTGCGCTACCCTGTGAGTCCCGGGCTGACGGGCTAGGAGTGCTGAGAGACTTCAGCTGCTACCCCTGACTCAAATGGAGTCATACAAAGACACTTTCCTCTGGTAGGTAAAAAGACGATGTAAAGAACCACAACAAACATTGCAGGCTAATGTTTGAAGAAGTAAGTCTCATTAGCAAGAAGCTATGCTTTGCTATGAACAGCCAACTTTTTTGGCCTCAAAAAACTGACGCAGGGATTAGAGCAAAAAAACTAAATCCTGAGCCTGAACTCTTTCAACACAGGCAAGAAACTCACATATAATACAATAAAATATAATTTACTGTATATATATATATATATATATATATATATATATATATATATATATATATATATATATATATGTAGATGCACATGTGTGTACATGTACATACAAGGTCAAAATATTAGCATATTGCGATAAAGTAAATTATTTTTCATAATGTAATGATAAAACTTTAGCATTCATATATTTTAGATTCATTGCTCACAAACCTTCAAATAATTCTGTATAGTTATGCATTCAATACTTGCCAAATGACTGCTTCAATGCGGCGTGGCATGGAGGCTATCAGCCAGTAGCACTGCTGAGGTGTTATGGAGGCCCAGGATGCTAGCCTTGAGAGACCATCCTGATCTCGCGAGCTTTCAAGGTTTCACTTGCAGATCAGTCTGGAGACTCTCCGTTAAAGAAAATCTGGAGCCGTTCACCAAACGAACGTCCAATCAGCGTTGGCTTTGAGGCGGGTTGAGGTGTGACGCAACAAGAAGCGCGACAGTTCAGTCTAAAGAACATGGCAGCTTCAGCCGATGAAACTAGCGTTAGCGTGGCTATCGA